ACCTCCTTTTGACTCCTCTTTGACGTCATTTGATATTACCGAAGTGAATTTACGCTGTTTGTAGATAGGTATTTTGTTGCATTTTTGTACAGGCCGAGTGACTAGCGGTTCCTTTTTGAAGGAAGACGGTGAAGGAGCAGCTATCGGTTTGACCGTGTCTGAAAATATATTACTAGGCAAGTCCAAACTCTAGAAAATCGCCATTTCACCTGTTTTCCGCTTGGAGCTTCCTGTAGGAGGAGCAGGCGTCTGTGAGGGAGGTGGAAAGGGAGAACTGGTGGTGCTCGGTTGGTGGGAGGAGGTTGATGGAGCCACAAATAAACCCATAATATTCGGTTCGGGAGAATCCGCTGAAGGTGAGTCAGGAGGAGTAAACTGAAATCGAAAACGTTTTCACAGATATGACAAGCCGATAGTCTGACCTGTACAGGACTAAGACTAGGATTGTTTTCACCGCCGTGAAAGTCGAATGGAAAGGCATTGGTAGATGAGTTTTGATTCTCTAAGCTACTGAAGATCTGATCAAACTCTTGGTCGGCAGTTGTGATTTCTGTGTGACTTGCTGCAGTCTGGGACGCAGAAGTGGCAGAGCTGCAAAACTTGGATAATTAGAATTTCCGAACAAGATTTGTGCATACATTAATATCTCCTAAAAGTGGAGCAAAGCAAGTAAGATAAATGGAGGGAAAAAAAGAAAACTTACAATGTGCCAGTTTTTTGTGACGATTCATGGAAGGTTTCCGGGAAGAGATTCCCACCAAGCTCGAAAACACTGGAGATAGCAGCGTCATTTTCCTTGGAAGACGTTCCCGTGAACAGATCCAAGTCGCCGAGATCTATTCCAGCCCAGTTATCGTCCACAACGGGCTGACCGCCGCCTTGAGACGTCGACGGTTGTGATTCCTATAGGAATGAAATGTAGCATATGGTAAGTAAACGCGGGTAAAGATAAACTTACTGAGTGGTTGAGGACGGTGCCATTCTTAAAGGCGTTGGGTGGGCGAGGGGCGAACTCCTGCGCACCGCCGGCTTCAGGAGTTCCTGCGCTTGGGCTCGCCCGCACAGTAAGATCGTACGCTTGAGTCTGACTTGAAGGTTGGGACAGACCTCCAACGTCGATGTCATGGGGAGTAGAGGTAGACGGATGAGATGATGGGCCATTTGACATCGGTCCTCCCGCCGGGGAATTCTGCAGAGACCAATGTGAGGTAACAATTCCGAGATATCTGACACAGGTAAGCTAGCGGCTTCCCAAAACTATTACCTGGGCTCCCAACACCTGCGGCGAGCACGAATTACTCGGGGAATTCCGCAAGCCTGCCTTGGAGACAGCCGAGGGAAATATGGATGACGACGTCGTCGCTGCTGTCGTCGTGCCACTGACTGGCGCTATACTTTGCTGGCTGATAAGCTCAGGCTGTGATATATCCCTGAAAAAAGAATTTTCCACTGAAACAAACAACAGGGC